CATCCTCACATCTCATCCTCTGACTCTGCCTCTCCCACCTCCCTCTCATAAGGACACTTGTGATTATGTTGGGCCTGTCCAGATAAATTAGCATAATTCCCCACCTCAAGATCCTTAACTTAATCCCATCTGCCTTGTAAGGCAACATTTTCATAGGTTCTGGGGATTAGGACATGGACACCTTTGGTGGTTGTGGCAGTGGGGGGCGTTATTGTGCCTACACAGCTGGCAGGTGACCTTCATGTCCTTGCATGTCATAAGGGAGGGGTGAGATGGATAGAGCCTGGGATCTCTTTCTTGTTCTCTGCTGGAGCTGAGTAGCAATTTCCCCTTTTAAACAGGCCATGCGTGCATTCCCCTACCTGGCCTTCTGACATTTTCATTACTCACTCAAATGCCCCTGGGCATTTGAGTTTGAGACCCTGTTGTGCAGTCCTAATAAAGCACAGCTAGACACTGGGCTCAGAGGGCTGTAGGCTGCGGGCTTTCAACCTTGGCCGAGCAAGGGCTTATTGAATAAACCATGAAGCATCTAGGAATTCTTGGCACTTAGCGGGTACCTGTTTGAAAGTAGGACCTACTACATTTTTCAGCAGCTCAGTAAATGTTGCCTCATCTTTAAGAAAAGCTGGTTTTACCCTGAATTTGCCAAATAGAAATGAGGGGGTGTTTATTTGTATCACAAAATGATTTAGTTAGTTTCTTTAAATAGCCAGCCCTACTATTTTCTTTAAGGTGTTTTAGTTAATGGGAAATTTGATTTGCACAACTTTTCAGAAACACACTGTGTAAAGGAATTACCTGCACCAGAAGGTCATCAGCTTTCCAAAGTCTGTGCCCAGCGTCTCTGTGGAGCATGCTGGGGCATAGTCAAGTCACTGGCATATTGATTCCTCCTCAGTGGGGATAGATTATTTATTTCTGTGGCCAATTGGAAGGCTACCTAAAGCAGCCTTGTCCATGGTTGATTGACAAGTATCCCTGGTGGTGGAATGTGGAAGGACCAGCCAGGAGCTACATCTACCATGAAGTTGGTTGTGTTTTCTTCTTTTTCTATGACTGATGATATTCATTTTTTTGTTCATTCACTCACCATTTATTTACTGAATATCAATTATATACCAGGAATTGTGGTAGACACTAGGAAACAAGAGCCTGGCCCCCTATATCACCTCCAAAGGGGATAAGGATGAAAAAGATCATAACTGATATTTTGAATGTTTTGAAGAAAGGTTCTAGAATAAAGCAACTACTTGAAAATAGGATGGAAAAGCTTTCCTAAATAGTTCTGGGTCAAAGAAAGAGTTGAAACCATAGTAATAGGCCACTTAGAAACTTTAAACAACGATGACACTAAACATAAACCATAAGATGCAGCCAAAACTGTACTTAAAAGAAAGCCTTTTAGCCTTAAAATCTTTAAATTTTTAATGAAGAGGAGTGGAACGTAAATTAATTGAATAGTCAATTTAAGAAGCTTTAGAAAGAATAGTAGACAGTATTAGCAGACATTTGTTGAATACTCGTGATATGGTAGGCACAGTTCTGACCATAGCTTAACTCATTTCATGCTGACAACAGTACTGTGATATGGGTACTATTATCCCTGTCATTTTTCAGAGAGGAAACCGAAGCACAGAGCGATAAGGTAATGTATCTAAGGGTTTTTTTGTTTGTTTAAAACAACAAATATTTTATTTATTTATTTATTTATTTATTTATTTTTAAGTTTGCAAATGATGGAGGCAGGATTCGACCCTGGCCATCAGACTCCAGAGTTCATATTCCCAATCCATAGGTAATACACATGATAACACACATACAGATATGGAAGACCAAAAAAAGTTAAAGTAGCAATTAATAAAGTAGAACAAAACCCACTAGAATTGATAAATGTATCCATGATCTGCTTCTTTAACATGATAGAAGAATGAAATAGACAACAAAGAAGACAAACTTCTGGAAGAAATAATGAGAGACTACCTAACAATACATTATGAGGACAGAATGAGAAAAGGTGTAGTATCATCCCAGATAAGAGGGTAAAATTTAAGCACATTGCGAAGAATCCTTCTTACATTTTTAAGGAAAATATAAATTCCAAAAGTTAGTTTGAGAAGAGGTGGAAAACTTTCCTGTGTGCTTGGAATGTAGACAGTGGGGGAGAGGTAAGCTGGGAGCGCTCAGGAATGGGATGGTGCTGTCGTCCCTTTTATTTCATGAGGTTCTGAAAGTCTAGATTTGGGAATATGATAAGGAGAAAAGAGAGGCCTATAAGTCAGCAAGGAGAAAATAGAAATATTATTATTTGGGATAGTATGGTTCTCTATCTGGAAAGCTCAAAGGAAGCAACTGGAAACCCACATATACTATTATGAGTTCAAAATGCTTGCAAAATAAATGTGCTGAAAATCTATTGCTTTCCTATTTTTAAACAATTACCAGTTGGGAAACAAAATGGAAAAAAAATGTCAAATTTACAATAGCATTTAAAAAGAATCCCTCAGGCAATACTAAATGCAAAATCTGTAGGACTCATATTGACAAAATAAGATTTCAACAAGGGGGACAGTCAATGCCTGGTGGAAAGTGTCGATTGCCGTGAAAGTGTCGATTATCTTGAATTTGATTTCTGAATTTAAAGACAATTTCAACAAAGTCCCAGTCATTTTTTGGAGGGTGGGGATGGACTGAATATAATTTCAATGAAGATTCCATTGGTATTTTTAAAATCTTGTAAACTGATTCTGAAGTTTGCTTGGAAGAATAAACATGCAGTGATAGCCAAGAAAATGTTGAAAATAAGAATAATGAGGGAGGACTTGCCCTGCCAAGATATAACATATTATAAAGCAACTATAATTAAAACCCATATTGCTGTGCTACAAGACAGATCAATGGAACAGAATAGAAGGCCCGAAGACAGACCCCAGTGTCTATAATTATTGAACATATAATAAGGCTGGCATTTGAAATCAGTGGGGAAGGGATGAATTATTCAATAAGGGATGCTGGGACAATTGGTTACCTATTTGGAAAACAGGAATTAGAGTCTCATTTCTCATCAGATTCCAAGGAATTATAGATGATTAAAGAGTTTAAAGCAGAAATGATGCCATATAAAAGTACAAGTAAACCCATAGAATAATATTTATATGACCTTGGGGCATGAAGAAGCCTTTTTGAGGTATAGGTAGATTAATTTTTTGGTCCAATTTTTCCTTTTAGTGGTTTGAAAGTTATATGTGGTATTTCTATTCTTATTTTTAATCTTAATTGTTAATATGTGTATTTAAACTTATAATGTCTTGTATGCAGTTTCTCAATGTCTATAATCTCAAGGGATGTAAGACTCAGCACATTTCAATTTTATAGCCCTCCTTCTTACCCTGTCAATCAATCAATCAATCAATAAAGTGGACAGATTAGTATAATAAATCCTCATGTGTCCATCACCCACGTTCAATAATGACCCATTATGATCAATTTTTTTCCATCTATAACCCTCCCCTTTTTCTCCCTTCCTTGGCATATTGAATTATTTTATCCATAAAGATCTTAAGATGTATCCTCCCAGATGAAGATTCTATAACAAAAAATAACCACAATACCATTATCACATCAAAAAATTTTAATTCCCTAATATCAATAGCAGTAATTTCCTAATAGCCCCCAAAAATGAGTATATCCATTTCCCTGATTGTCTCGCAATTTTTTAAACTATTGAGTTATTCAAATTGGGATCCAAATAAGGTCTACATGTTGCATTTAGTTGATATGTTTCTTAAATCCCTCTGCAAATATAAGTTTATCCTCTTATTTTCTCTCCCCTTTTTTTTCTCTCTTGTAGTTTATTTGTTGAAGAAACCATATTGGTTGCTTTGTAGTTTTCTACGTTCTGGGTATTTTGGGAGGCATCGTGTGTTTTTTGCTGATTGCCTCCCTGTGATGTTGTTAAATATGTTCCTTATTACTTGTATTTTCCGTAAATCTGTAGTTGTATCAAGAGACTTGGAACAGATTGGATTATTTGGCAAGAGTACTTCATAGGTGGGGTGTGAGCTTTCATCGGGGTAGGTGGTATCTTTCTGTGATATTAGCAGCTACTGATGACTGTAACCTAAACCATTATATCTCTAGGGGTAGCCTTGCAGTTTCCTGTTCTATTTTCATTTACTGCCCATCCACTTTAGAACGGTTCTGAGCTGGACCCTAAAACATGGCACCCATCCTCCAGAAACCCACAGTGTAGAGGTTATAAATGAAGATTTGAACAATAAAACTGTAAAGGAAGATTTGAACCAAAAAATTAGTTTTATTTTGTGTTTATTCCTTGACTGTCTCCCCCGCCAACTGATATAATTCCCCAAATCGTGGAGCTGTATCATAGATGCATTTAACTCACACAAATTCAAATATATGTATATATGTATTTGGTTGCAAACCACTAAGGTAACAATGCAAACATGGCAGCCCATTTCTTCCATTCTTCCTCTTAATTGACATTGCTTCTGGTGAGACAGAGTCACGAGTCTTCCATCCCTGCTCACTGTTTCTCCATGCCCTTCATAGTACGCACATCTCTCAAAGTGTGATTCCAGAGTTTAAAGATAATGTATTTCTTACGCATTATGGACTTAAACACAAGCCAACTACTTCATCTGGCGCGTGATCTAAGAAAGAGCATTCTGTTCCAAAATCAATAGAAGACCAGGCACTTTAAGGAATCTTCAAGAGAGTGTAATTTTGAGCATATGGGATCTTTTGAACCCCTGCTAACTTTAGAAGTTTAACTCCTGTGTGAGATGCAACATCCGTGTGCCCAAGAGTTCAACTTCAACAAAGGACAAGATGCAAAAGCTGAAGTTATTGTTTCTTATGGTATAAAGCTTTTCCTTGTTGGTGAAGCCCGGGTTAATGATCTCTTCCTCCCTTTCTCTCTCTTCCTCTTCTCCACTTTCCTTCTTCCCTTCCTCCCACCCTTATTTTCTCTTTTGCAGTTTGCTGCTTTGTTGTGCACAAGCGGTGCCATGAATTTGTCACATTCTCCTGCCCTGGCGCTGACAAGGGCCCAGCCTCTGATGTAAGTAATGGGCATTGGCCACTTTTCTCTGTTGACAGTCAATGCATCCTTCGGGTAAATGTGAGCGAGCACGCTTAGACAAACAGGTGCGGATGTTAATGCATGTGGTGGACCTTGTAGGCTTTGAGACAGTTTTCCTTTTAGTGAAAAAACGTTTTGAAAGGGGATGTGGCTGGACAGGAAACCAGCTAGCTCCCCTACTATGATTTTGCTAAATATCTTCACCTTGACGTTTGGGGCGTGGGGAGTGATAGACAGGAGCTTATCTGTTAGTGCAACTGTGAAAAGGTAGTTTTGGCGGTACTTTACCATGGACCGTACAGCTCTTTGTTAGGGAGTTCTTAATATCAGGGCCCAAGAATTAGGGGGAAATGAGTTTATCCTCACTACTATACATCCCAAAGTATGATACTGCTGGTGAGACAAGAGATACTTGTGGGTAAAATAGGCAAATGATTTTTGTATTAATCATTATGAATTTATTTGAAGATGGATTGGAAAAACATACCTAATAGCAGTTTTGCATTTATGGTAGAAATACAGAATTTCCCACTTAAGTAAAAGATATTTAGGTTAAACAAAAGACAAATTGATTTAAGGAAAATATTAAGTGAATGACAGTATGGATGTTATAAGGATATGGCAAAAGTTTTGGTACAATTTTCTCTCAAGTTTGGGGCACATTGTTGACTGTCTACGCAACAGCCATTCACAGCCCTCATCCTCTTCTCTTCTTCTGGCAGAGGCCACATCTCATGCCAGAAGCTGAAAATGCCTGACACATGCTTTTCCAGGCTTTCTTGTAGCTCGTGAATGAGCATGTGACCTAATCCTGCTAATGGGCCCTGCAGAGAGGACTGAAGAAGGCTTCTAGGAAAGATTTTCCTTTCTGACCAGAAAGAGACATCCCTTCCTTTGTCCTCTTGGGAATTTTTGTTGTGCATGTAATACTTGGAGTTGTGGCAGCCCTTTTGGGTCAATGAGGGAGACACTGCTGACATCCTGAGCATGGCAGAGTGGAAAAGCTGAAGGAACCTGAGTCATTGATGACGCTAATGAGCTGGAGCCAACACTGAGTCCTCTTATCCCCAAACTGGATAGGTGAGATAAGAAGCTCTTCTTGGTAAAGTCTCATTGTTTGGGGCATTCTTTTACAGGCAGCTGAAGCTGTCCTAGGCGATGGGACTTTCTACCGTGCATAGGCTTTCATCGCTCAGTAATGAACTGCGTTTGGCTCACCCCATACGCAGGCATCACCCCTTGTTCTCTTCCTTTGTTCCTGCTTTGGTTCACCTTCCTGGAATTTTCCCCATTGATTATGTCTCCATTACTGGTCCTGCTACCCACTTAGACGTGACAGCTGATTTCAGCTTGCCCGAAGTGAGTAGTGACAACCTTTGTCACTGAGTTTCTTTGAGTCCTTGTACAAGTGGTCATCTGCCATTTTGGCACAAATTGGGGCGGGGGGGTAGGGAGGGAACATATCTGTTGCCATAGCAACACAAACACTCTAGGTTGGAAAATGTGGTACTCGAGTTAAGAACTCCAATAAACGTGGAACAACCAGATCCATGCAGGTCTGTTTGCAAAGACAAAGTTTGAGATGGTTTGTCATGTTCTCTCAGATCCCACACCCTGGCCCTTGTAGCACAATTTCTTCTCTCATCCCCAGAAAAACAGGCAGGGAACTTCTGAGGGACTTCCTGACTCCAGTATGCTTCTCTGAGTGTTCATGCGGACGGAGACTAGATAATGCAAGTTGCAGCCAAGAGGATAGTGTTTCCCATATTCTCTCTATGTCTGTTGAATTTTTCCGTTGCCTAAGACAGAAACTCAGCTCAAACTGGCTTATGTGAAAAGGGATATTTTTGGTCCCTGAAATTGAAAAGCCCTAAGGGCAGACCTGGCTTCAGGCACAGTGAATCAAAGTGCTTAAATAAGGTCCTTAGGAACCTTTTTCTCTATTTCTTGGCTTAGCCTTCCTCTGTGTTGTTTCATTTTCAGGAAGGCTCTTCTCCTATGGGAGCATGGTGGCTGCAGCACCTTTGATCCTCTGTCTTATGTCAGTGCTGCAGCCCCAGTGACAAGTGCTGCAGTCTCTTTGGACCATGGGTCACATGTAGCCAGGAGGATGGGTTATGCTGATTGGCTAGACCTGGTTATGTGCTGCTATAGTTTGAAGGTTTTGTCCCCCCACCAAATTCATATGTTGAAATCCCAACCCTCAAGGTGGTGGTATTAGAAGGTAGGATCTGTGGGGGGCAATCAGGTCATGGAGGTGGAGCCCTCATGAATGGGAATTAGTGCTCTTATAAAAAAGACCCCAGAGACAGCCCTCACCCCTTCCACCATGTGAGGTTACAGCAAGAAGACCATTGTCTGTGAGGAATTGGGCTCTCACCAGACACTGAATCTTGCCAGCACCTTGAACTTAGACTCCCCAGCTTCCAGAACTGTGAGAAATAAATTTGTTATTTAAAAGCCACCCAGGTTTTTTTTTTTTTAGACAGAGTCTCACTCTCTTGCCTGGGCTAGAGTGCCGTGGCATCATCCTAGCTCACAGCAACCTCAAACTCCTGTGCTCAAGTGATCCTCCTGTCTCAGCCTCCCAGGTAGCTGGGACTACAGACACGCGCCACCATGCCTGGCTAATTTTTTCTATTTTTAGTTGTTTGGCCAATTTCTTTCTATTTTTAGTAGAGACGGGGTCTCGCTCTTGCTCAGGCTGGTCTTGAACTCCTGAGCTCAAACGATCCTTCCACCTTGGCCTCCCAGAGTGCTAGGATTACAGGTGTGAGCCACCATGCCCAGCCTGCCACCCAGCTTTTGATATTTTGCTATAGCATCCCAAATGGACTAAGACAGAAAATTTTGGTACCAAAAGTGGTTTTAGAAGAAAAGAATGTTAAGGATGAGTTTTCTGACTTGGTTCTGCGGATTCTGGAATTGGCTCTCTAATTGACTATATTTAAAATGCTAATGACCCTATTTCTAGTAGTAAAGAGCACTGATAGTCCGTGGCATGAACTGTTTATAGAGATATACAAAACATTTGCATTGGATACTCCTAATCAGCCACTTATAAAAAGCAGGGAGCTACATGACTCTGTATATGATGCTGAAACATTTTTGGAAAACTAAGGAATGTAATGACATTTTCTGCTTGCTCCTAACATCTCCGGACAAAGTGGTGGAGGAAAAGGATGAGCTCAGGGATTTGAATTCCCACCTCAAGCACTGCCTAAATGATCTAAGGGCTTCTAGGTGTGCCCTGAAAGAAAGCCTTTTAGCCTGTAGCTGCATGGCTGAAATTTCTGAAAATCAGATGCACAGTCTCATCCTGCGATTGGCTAAATTACAATGCACATTGAACTCCCAGCCTCACAGTGTGTCTCCTGTTAAAGCAAGGACATTGATGGGGAAAGAATGGGATCGTGTAAGTTGGGAAGATTCTGATGAATACTCTGAAGCTGGGAACACTGATCCCCTAAATTCTGATGAGTCTTCCTTGCTGGTGGAAGTGGCCTCCCTACCTCCAGCAAAAGTGGCATCCCCAAACATGGTGGTATAGGCCGTTCCACCTGGGTTGCATTGCTCGAGGAAACAGTAACAGCCTCCCCTGGGGCAGGTGCCAGGCAAGACAATGCTGACTCCAGACCCACCTCCACTACCCCTTTTTGCTTCTAGACTTATCACTAGACTGAAGTCCCAGCAGGCCCCTAAAGGCACAATACAAAGTGTGACCCATGAGAAGGTACACTGCACTACAAAAGAACTACTTGAGTTTTCTAATTTATGCAAGCAGCCATCTAGGGAACATGGGTAGGAATGGATATTAAGGGGGTGGAATAATGGTGGAAGGAACATAAAGTTGAGTCAGGCTGAATTTATTGATGTAAGTTCACTAAGCAGAGATTCTGAATTTAATGTTTTAGCTTAGGGAGTTAGAAAGGGCACTGACAGTTTGGTTGGTTGGTTCAAACGTCAATCAAAAGATGGCCCACTATGAGTGAATTAGAAATGCCTGATCACCCCTGGTTTAATGTAGAGGAAGGGATTCAAAGACTTAGGGAGATTAGAATGTGGATTAGAGTGCATTTGTCGTTTAAGACATACTTACCCATGCTGGGAGGGGCCAGAAGACCCTTTCTTTCTTTATTTTGCCAATACTTTGAGAAATAAATTTGCAAGGGGAACCCCAGCATTCTGGAAGAGTTCTGTGATCACCCTTCTCTATGGCCATACCTTACGTGGGAACCATAGCCACTTAATTGGAAAACCTAAGTGCAATTGGGAATAATTGTATTCCAGGGTAAAAGGGGCCAATTGGTGGCACTCAGCCATGAGAGGAAGGTGGGCGTGGTTATAATGACAGACAGCTGAATTAAAACAACAATCGGAACAGCCTGACTTGTGCAGACCTCTGGTGCTGGCTAATCATGGTGTTCCTAGAAGGCAAATGGACAGGGAACCTACTGCATTCTTACTTGATATGTATAAGCAGAAAAGTTCTAGGTCAAGTGAACAAAAGTCTAACTCAAATCATGAAAACAGAGAGTCACAGCCCCTCAATCCATACCCAGACTTGAGCCAGTTTATAGATCCAGACTTCCTTGAATGAATGAAAAGGAGGCTGAGTCTCCTTGAGAAAGTGATTGTACTACTCAAAATATGTACTATTAATCTTTCTCCCAGCCTTCTCCAGAGGGACCTACTGTCTTGTACCTGGTATGTAGCTCTGTTGTATCAAATGCCTTTTTCTCCATCTCTGTCCATAAGACCCACCAGAAGCAGTTTGCTTTCAGCTGGCAAGGCCAGCAATACACCTTCACTGTCCTACCTCAGGGGTATGTCAGCTCCACAGCCCTGTGCCGTAATTTAGTTCAAAGGCATCTTGATCACGTTTTTCTTCCACAAGATATCACACTGGCCCGTTGTGTTGACAACATTATGCTGATTGGTCCTAGTGAACAAGAAGTAGCAACTACTCTAGACTTATT